AAAACAGGACAGCAAGTCCAACTAGCATTTAGCTGATCCTCCCACTGTGGACGTGACCAGGCAACATAAAATGAGCTGGGGACATGGTGTCATCTGCTAAGAGAGGGAGGTTGGTTCCCAAGCGTCCAGAAACCTAGTCACCAGCAGAACATGTCCCCAGCCCTCTGGTGAGGGCTCCTGTTCAAAGGAACACGAGAAACTCTTCCAAGTCAGAGCAAGGGTTTCTTAGGCCCCGGTCACACGGGCCGGATATCGCGGGGGGGGGAGGCATGGCTGTTTGCCCCGGAGCGAACTACTGCACGGCCGCCGGATCAAATGTTCCGCCGACGTCCGGTGGTTCAGAGGGGAGGTGCCAATCATACGTCAATCCTGCAGCGCGGCAAAGAAGCGGCGGTGCGGGGGTTGTTTTTTTTTTTAACCGAAGTGTGCGCATGCGCTGTTGGGTGCTTGTGCGCATCCCATGGAGACTTGGGGGAAAAAACCCTTTTCACAATGGGGCATGGGCGGGCGCCGGATACCACGAGCTACCACCGGAAATGTGATCAGACGCCCGCCATTGCCCCGCGGTTTCCGGAAACTAGTACCTCGGAGGTACTAGTTTCTTATGGTGCATCTTTGGCGGGAAGCCTCGGGTTCGCCATGGGAGCTCTACACTTCCCAAATGTTGCGGTTTGATTGTGCCCGGAAAATCCGCCTATCTTCCGTCTCTGTAGCGTGGCTAATGCTCCGTGTGACCGCAGCCTTATACTATCGCTTTGGAGCAGGCAGAAGCAGTGTGAAAGGAAATAGCTGCTTCTCCTTGTGCCAAAGCCCAGAACAATGAGACATCCCCACCACTCTTCCCATGTTCCATTACACCTGAAGATGACTCAGGGAGGAGGGGATACCACAAATTACTGCTGTATTATTGGCTGCCATTCTGTAATTCAGTAAATTCCTATAGAATAAAATTAGCAGTTTGAAAAACTGTTCTTTAACAAAATATTCTGAAGCAATTAGATTATTGTCCCACTTCCCTGTTATATACCACCTCCTAAATACCTTCCGTCTCCCCACCAATTTCTGCATCAACTGTAAGCTTTCAAAAACACAGTGACACAACGTAAGGCCTCCGTGCAACTGCTTCACCCTCAGAACTCATGGGGAGAATTGTTTTTAAAGTGCCCTCACATCAGAATCTTTTGTTTGCACATGAGATGACTACACATCCAAAGCAGAAGAGTTCCACATGCAGGAAGGTTTAGAGAAGCAATACTTTTACAAAGAATCCCTCTGTGTACATTCAATATGTACAGGACTATATCATGTACCCCTTTAAATATCTGATTTGGGCCTAATACAGTTATGTGATGAGGAGACTGAGCAGTGGGATTTTTCACACTTCTCCCTTCCTCCAGCAGCCCCTCCTGCACATCTCAAACACTTCTGGTGAGGATTGGGGGCCCCTCATGGATAAAGTGCAAAGCAACATGGGGGGGGGCACAGTGAGTAGGCAGGGAATGGTTGGCTGTTCCATGAGCACAGCAAGTTTGGCTCAGAGCCTCCAGGATCGCTGTGTTCCCCATTCTTCCAAAATCAGTTAATAATTTCTTCCCTCCAGTTCTGTTCCTTCCATTTAATGTTAACTGCAAAGGCTCTGGGAGGGAATTGTAGCACTTCTACAACCTGCAATGCAACCAATGCAACATGATTACTATCAGAGTTTGTTTGTAATTACTTCAGTATGCAATTACTTTGGCATCTGCCAATGCTCACCACCAATCTGGGGCAAGCATTATGATGCTGAGAGCTCTTCCTAAGTCAAATTAAAGTCTGAGCTGGAAACAGTAAAGAGGAAATGGAAAAGGATTAAGAACATATGAACATAAGAGAAGCCATGTTGGATCAGGTCAATGGCCCATCCAGTCCAACACTCTGTGTCACACATCGAGGTGTTACACCCAGTTGCCAAAACCCAGGTGCCATTAGGAGGTCCACCAGCAGGGCCAGAACTCCAGAAGCCCTCCCACATCCCCGAAGCACCAAGAATACAGAGCATCACTGCCACAGACATAGTGTTCCGTTTACACCTTGTGGTTAATAGCACTTATGGACCTCTGCTCCATATGTTTATCCAATCCCTTCTTGAAGTTGTCTATGCTTGTAGCTGCTGCCACTTCTTGTGACAGTGACTTCCACATGTTAATTACTCCTATGGTGCAGAAGTACTTCTTTTTATCTGTTCTGAGTTTACTGTGCATTAATTTCATTGAGTGCCTATGAGTACTTCTTTCTCTACCTTTGCTATCCCATCCATAAATTTTGTAAACCTCTATCATGTCACCCCTCAGTCATCATTTCTCCAAGCTAAAGAGCCCTAACTTCTTTAACCTTTCTTTATAGGGAAGGTGTTCCATCCCCTTAACCATTTTAGTTGCCCTTTTCTGCATCTTTTCCAATGTTATAATATCTTTCTTGAGGTGCAGTGACCAGAACTGTACACAATATTCCAAGTGAGGCCACATCATAGATTTATACATTAGTATGATGACACTGGCTGATTTGTTTTCAATCCCCTTCCTAATAACCCACGGCATAGCGTTGGCCTTTTTTATTGCAGTCACACACTGTTTCGACATTTTCAGAATAGCACTTATGGACCTCTGCTCCATATGTTTATCCAATCCCTTCTTGAAGCTGTCTATGCTTGTAGCTGCTGCCACTTTATAGCTAGGATTTTTGGCTCCAATGAGCATTACTTTGTACTTGCCCACACTGAACCTCATTTGCCACACTGACGCCGACTCACCCAGCCTCAGCAGATCCCACTGGAGCGCCTCACAGTCCTCCCTGGTTTTCACGACCCTGAACAACAGTGTCATCTGCAAACTTGGCCACTTCACTGCTTATTCCCAACTCCAAATCATTAATGAGTTAAAAAACACTGGACCTAGTACCAAGCCCTGCGATACCCCACTGCTTACCTTCTTCCACTATGAAAACTGCCCATTTATACTCACTCTCTCTTTCCTGTTAACAAACCAGTTTTTAATCCACAAGAGGACTTGTCTTCTTATCCCATGACTGCTGAGCCTTTGATTAGGAACTTTATCAAAAGTTTTCTGGAAGTCTAGGTAAATAACATCTGCTGGATCACCCTTGTCCACATGTTCATTCACCCCCTCAAAGAACTCTAAAAGGTTAGTGAGACAAGATCTTCCCTTACAGAATCCATGCTGATTCTTCCTCAATATCTTTTGTTCATCAATGTGCCTATTAATTCTATCTTTAATAATGGACTCCAGCAACTTACCCAGTATCAATATTAGACTGGCTGGGCTGTAATTTCCTGGATCTCCTCTGGAACCTTTTTTGAAGATGGGGGGGGTTATATGGCTACCTTCCAGTCTTTGGGAATGGAGGCAGATTGTTTCTGCCCCTTCCCCCCTCTAGTTTCTTCAGCCCTGCATCAGGGACCCCAGCAAAACAGGTTTTCCCAGGACACCCAATATCCATAATATGAGCATCTAACATCCTGGTAACACCATATGCTAAAATGCTTTATGCCAAGACATTTAGTTCCTGGAAAAACTACAGGGGGGGGGGGTTACAGTGCATATAACCCAGCAGTCACAGAGTTTGAGGCACCAAAAAGGGGTGATGGAAGGGGTGAGAAAGAGAACTCATTCTCTGCCACTGCTGATAGATAAGGGAGCTTGAGGACTCCAGCAGGAGGGACATTCAGAAACTCCATTATGCTTTTGATGGGATGCCTAAATTTTGGAACTGTGCTGGGGAGGTCAAGCTTTTTTCCAATTTTGGAGTGTGGGGGGGTAAGAATAGCTGCCAATTCCAGATTGAGCCAGGAAGAGTTTGCCTATCACTATACAACACTGCTGGTTAGAAAGGAATATGCTGTAGCCCTCGCGGCACTAGAGTTGGATCCAACCAGCTTTTTCGCTCAATCTCACCACTCCATATTCCGCATTGTTGTTCTGCATGATCATAACATAACTTTCTTTGGCAATCGAAGGGGACCTGTTCTTCCCTTTCTCACCAGTGGAAAAGCTGAGTGGATCCAATAAGATATACCACTCTAGACCAGATGCAGAAATCCATGTAACCCAGTACTCAGCCTTTTGACAGTGGCCATCCAGGTTCCCCTGAAAAGCTGATGAGCAGTGTGACGTGAAGATCACCACTCCCTGATGTTTGCAGGCAGCCCATGACAATCAAGAGTACACTGTTTTTCACCTTGGAGCTTCCGATCCTAGCTATCATGGCCAGCTACTCTTGATTGGTGTAGTGTTTGGTGTCGTGTTTAAGTGCGCGGACTCTGATCTGGCAGAACCGGGTTTGATTCCCCACTCCTCCACTTGCACCTGGCTGGATAACCTTGGGCAAGCCATAGTTCTGACAAGAACTGTCCTTGAAAAAGAGCAGTTTCTGTCAAGAGCTCTCTCAGCCCCACCTACCTCACAGGTAGTGAAGGGCAGGGTATAAATCCAATCTCTTCTCTTCTTCTTCTAAGTATCCTTTTTAAAAATTCAATCTCTGTGTGAAGGAGAATTGTAAACTGAGGCCCTTACACTGAAATCCATCTCCAAGTCGGGCATCTGATGTTCAGTCTTTGCTTAAATCAAAACCTAATATATAGCGTGGGGCCATTCCGCAACTCTGCGTTACGCACAGGGATAACGGTACCTTGGGTGGGTAGATGGCGTGACGTGTAAATTATTCAGCTTTCAAAACAAAATCAAGAGTCCTCCTACTGAACACTCCATAAGTGGTCCTTAAGGCGTTAAGCTTCTGGTTTACCAATTAAACATGATACCTTAACAGTGCAGCACGAACTGTCTGCTCTCTGTCTTTAAGTTGTCAGCAGTCGCCGTTACTAATGTGGGTCTGTGGGTGGATGCAAGTGTGCGCTGAAAGCAGATGCAACGTGCCGGACCGTGGAACTGATTGCGGTGAAAGTCTTTGCTAATAGAGATGTCAATGAAGCGAAAGAGCTTTCATACCTGAGTTAACTAGCTGCTGCTCCATGACCCCGCAGCCTAAGACCTCCATCCACTCTCCCTGGAAGTTGATCTCCATCTCGAAGGAAGGGTGAGTAAATGGGAAGTAGCAGTCCACCCATCTAATCTCAAGCCCTATTGACAAACAAAAGAGGTAAGGCAAAAAAGAAAAAAAGATTAACTGATTAAAAAGCTTAGTTCTCCCACCCTAAGTAAAACTTGCCCTTCAGTTAATGACATCAATTACTGCAGCAATCCACGGAAAATAAATAACAAACTAACCAATTTACAATACTTTTTTTGTGTGCCTGTGAGGCAATAAGTCTTAGAACTTGGTGTGTGTGTGTGGGGGGAATAGCCATGTCTTTTCTAATATGAAAAACCTTTGTGCAATTCAGGCACCCTTTAAAACCAAATCAATCACTTGTCAAACTCTAGTAACCACCTGGCATAGAAGGAAAATGAGCCAAGATCATGGGGCAAAGCCGGTAGTTTTGTTATGCTCGGTAACTGGAAATGACTAACAGCTCCCCAGATATATAGCAAAATCTTTTTATTATTATTATTTTACAATTCTATTCCCCCCCCCACTATTACCTTAATGACTTCTTTTGACAAATCAGCCTCCACAGATTTTTTTTTGCACTATTAGTGCAATCCGCTTTAAACACAAAGCTATTCTCTTCTGATTTTTGCCGCTGTATGAATATTTTATAGAGCTGTATAATGAATAAACACTATATATAAAGTACTGATATATTTCTAATATATACAGAACAAGCTCCATTAACCAACTGGCACAGGACATTTTTTTAAACACACACACATCCACCAGAGGTTGGGTAAATAGAAGGTCTGATCAACAGAGCGAAGTCCTGAGGCCTCATGCCAAAGGTAAAGCTAAGCAATGTTCAATTCAAAGTGTCGTCTTTACCCAGATGAACAAGTGTGTAAAATCAGGGGCAAGGAATAGAAAGGCTGGATTACAGGAAAACGGCAACACACGCTGGGAACTAAGCCAAGGAGGAGGAAATAAAGCACTTGCAGCCAAACCGGGCTGGTTATCTCAGTACAGGGAAAACGTTTGCCAGGGAAAGAATTTGTAAGGAGAATGAGGAAACTGCATGGCATCACATGAAGAAATTTAATGGGGTCAAGAAACAGCAGGTGACATGAACGTGGTGACGTGAAATCTGATCCTACTGGACTGATCAATGGGGGGGGGGGCAGCTAGTGCTGTGCACCGTGCCAAAAGTCTCATTTTGCCCCTTATGCTATTTAACTACTACCGGACTAGAAGAGGTTGAGGAGCTGTGGTGGCTCAAGTGGTTAAGACGCTGAACTGCAGGCTGTGGAAGGTCAGCAGTTCAGCAGTTCGAGACCCGAGTGTGCCGCATGACGGAGTGAGCTCCCGTCTCTAGTTCCAGCTCCTGCCAACCTAGCAGTTCGAAAGCAAGAAATTGCAAGTAGATAAATAGGTACCACTTCGGTGGGAAGGTAACAGCGTTCTGTGCGCCTTGGTGTTTAGTCATGCCAGTCACATGACCATGGAAATGTCTTCGGACAGCGCTGGCTCTTCGGCTTTGAAACGGAGATGAGCACCGCAACCCTAGAGTCGGACTCAACTGGCTTTCGAGCAAGGGAACCTTTACCTTTACTAGAAGAGGTTGGCTTGAGATCTGAGGTGAGGGATCAGTTTAAAGTATTTGCTATTATACAGTCAGCCCCTCGTGGCCTTGGACCCTCACATCTGCAAGACTGCCCCTCCCCCTACGCTCTGCTATGACAGCTTCACTCATCCGAGCAGGAACGTCTGCAGATGCCAAACTGCAAATGGATAAGATCAACAACAGCCTCCTCTGTTGTGGCCCCCGCCTTGTGGAATGGCCTGCCTGAGGAGGTCAGGAAGGCTTCCACTCTCCTGGCTTTTCACAAACTATGCTAAACTGAATTATTCAAGAGGGCTTTTCTATGCAGGCGATAGGGCTGCACTGTACAAAAGTTGCTTGGATACATTATTGGGGACTGTGGTCTGTATGATTTTCCATCATTTAATTCATCACGTTAACATTTATGCTTTGCTTCGGTTCTCTTTTTTAGACTCCTGGCTGGTTCTGCAACCCAAATCTTATTTCATTTTTATTGAATTTCCCTTCTTGTTCTTTGTATTGACTCACCCCGTGTAATCCGCTTTCAGTTCAACTGAGAAAGGCAGACTGTAAATAATGTAAATACAGAAACAAACAAATAAATGAGCAAACGGATGACATCCGATGAGGCTTCTTCTTTTCACCTAATCTAGGTGGAACTAGGAATTCTTAGACATGCATCTCGTAACTGCCCCCTCATACCATGGTGATGGTATTCAGCCGGTTTAGGATGCGGTGGCATTTCCCTTGAAAGATCAGGTCTTGAGTGTAAGGGAGTCTCTAGATCTAGATTAGTAAATGAATGTTCAAGTGGCATCCATTGCGTGAATATGCCTTCCACCAAGTCCAGCTGGTGTGTCAGCTGCGCCCCCTTCTGGGGAAAAGTGACTTGGCCACAGCTATCCATTCTCTGGTTACATCCAGGTTTGATTCCTGTAATGTGTGGTTGTACATGAAATAAATAGTTGGAATGGCTGGTCAGAATAGAGCAGCCAGACCGAGGCACACTGTAGTGATCATATTGCTCAAGTGCAGGAAGATCTTTTTTTCTAGATGCAGGCTCCAGGGCAGAGAGGGACAGGAGATTTACCAAATGAGATGCAGCACTTGAAAATGATACAACATGGCTCAAAGTATCTGGAAGATCTTCATCAGCCATCTCCAACAAATTCAGAATCCCCTCTCCCCAAATATTTATAAACATAAAAGTAGCAGTGGATATTTGTATCAATATGTTCCATCTACAACTCAACATGACCTTCAGCTCACATTCAGGGGTCATAAAATGCCACGTATCAAGGACCAAGAGCAAGGAAGCATGGCAAATGAAGCTGACTGTACAAAAACAGCATTCACAGACACTACACATGAAAATTCTCAACAGGAAAAAGAAGTTCTGTTAAAAACAATGTTTGTGTGGGAGTTTTAATTGCAATGTTATCTGTTAGATCTTCTGCTAAAAATATTCCCCTTCAACAGCTCTGAAACTTGCCAACATCTTGCATGAGTTCTCATGCTAGCCTGTAGTTCCGTGATAGATAACTGTGTCATCTCTGAAGGCAAGAGTTCTCGCTAGAAAATAATTTTGAGAACCAGCCTTGAAGGACTGGAAGAATATTAATCTAGTCCAGCATTCTTCAACCTGTAGAAGCTGAGAAACAAAGCAAGGGTAATGATTTGGCCATCCTCTACTGTCGGTCCCCAATGTTTGGTACTCAGAGATAGAGCGTCTAGCAGTGGTGGGGACTCCATTTAGATATTGTAGCTACCAATGGCATAAATCAGTCTAATATGTTTCAAAAGCCACTGAAGATGACAGCAATTGCCTGTAATAGCAATTTATGCTGTGCACAGCTAAGTATTGCATTATCTCAATACTAGAAATAAGGCCCGTTGTGGAAATAAATACAACGAGATCTAGAAAGAGGCTCTGGGAGAGTGCTCTGGCTTTGGGCAAACAGTGTCAGTCTGCTTTTAAAACATGAACCTGGGACCTGCACACCACCAGAATACAGCAGATTCCATATGCAACTGACATTCCAACTGCCTTGCGGGGGGGGGGGGAGTTTGAGGTGTGGAATGGAGTGAAGTCCAATCCAATGTTTGGTACTCAGAGATAGAGCGTTTAGCAGTGGTGGGGGACTCCACTTAGATATTGTGGCTACCAATGGCACAAATCAGTCAAATATGTTTCAAAAGCCACTGAAGATAACAGCAATTGCCTGTAATAGCAATTTATGCTGTGCACAGCTAAGTATTGCATTATCTCAATATAGGGAAAGCCAGCGTGGTAGAGGGATTAGAGTGCCAGAGAGACTCCAGCTGGGATTCCCACTCTGCCCTGGCAGCGTGCCCGTCACTCTCTCCACACAGGACTCTGAGGATGAGGGGGGTTATGTGGCAAGCCTCTTAGGGTCCCCATGGGGAGAAAAGAGGGCACAGATCGCTAAACAATTAATTCATAACGTACATTTATTTAATTTACTTCCTTTATACCTCACCTTTCTCCCCACTGGGGACCCAAAAGAGCTTAGAACACTGTTCTCCCCTCCTCCATTTTATCGTCACAACCACCCTGTCAAGGTAGGTTCAGTCGAGAATGTGCAACTGGCCCAACCAGGTCAGCTAGCAAGCTTCCGTGGCAGAGGGAATGTTCAAAGCTGGGTTTCGCAGACTCTAGTCCAGCATCCCGAGGACTGTCCCACACTGACTCTTATTGTGCTTAACACTAATAGAATAGCGTTAACATTGACAACCTTGCTCAAGTCAGGAGGGGCTTCTGCAGTCGGCAACCTGCAAATGGGCGAAATCGACAACTACCCACGCATTTGCTTTCTCTGTTGCGACTCCCATCTTGTGGAAGTTTGCCCAAGGACGTCGGGAAAGCTCCCCCTCTCCTGGCCTTCCTCAAACAATGCAAAACCAAACTATTCAAGAGGACTTCTCTGTGCAGGTAATATGGCTGCCCTGTACAAAATGATTTTAAAACTTCCTTGGATAAATTATTAGGGATTGTGGTCTATCCCGCTGTGTATAGCCTACTGTAGGTAAGATCCTATTTATGTAATTTCTGAACTGCTTAATGTTTCATGTGAATATTTCTGCTATGCTTCAGTTCTTTCTGGTTGGTTCCAGACTCCCACAGTCCTAATTCATCAGTTACTGATTGTCCCATTTTGTCCATTGTGCTGACTCGCTGTGTGTAATCTGCCTGGAGTCCCTGTGAGAAAGGTGTACTACATGTAACATAAATAAATTAAATAAATAAAAAGATTGACTATCTCAGACCCATCCCAACTTTTGCCTCTGTTCCCCTGCCCTAGAGCTTAGGGCTGCAAGTTTCTGGCCACCTACCTACTACACTAGTCTGTGCTAGGAGAGGTGCTCTTGGCTCTTCTTACGAGGATGCTTGTGAAGTATGTGTAAGAAAGAGTCTGGACTTCATTGCTGTAACTGATCTTGTGCTGGTCACGAACCACATTCATAAATTTGTTTTGATTTGTTTTGAAGTCTGGTCTGAGTTCTGTGACACTGTTATGGCATTCCTGGTGGCACCACATGTTGATTGGTGCTTTCTATGCATGGGCTTGGCCCGTGAGTACTATCCTGCCTGGTAGGTGGCAGTGGAGTTTTCAGATGCTGTCGTCAGAGCTACTGTGCTAGCCCTTGTTTCTGCTGCAATTACTGAGCTTCCTGCTTCACTGCTGGGATTGCGCAGGATTGTACCTTCATTATGCTGGACTGAAGGGTTGGCCTGCCAGGCACTTACCATCACCAAAGAGATGAATCACAAGTTTTGTCAATGCTTGCTTCAAACTGTGCTCCACAAGCTTTGTAGCTTCCATGGTGTGTGTCTCTTGTTTGTGTGGTGTTCGAAGACCTTTTTCAAACAAGGACAAACTTTCTCCCCCACCGATATTGCTGAAGAGCTGAGGAAAAAAGAACATTAAAGCAACAACACTTCGCATCTGTATAATGTTTTTGGTTTTTTTGAGTATTCAAAAAATTTCATATGCTTCCACTCAGTTATCCTTAGAATCTGATCAACATTTTTGTTCTAAATATTATTGTCCAAGTATCAGAACAATGGGCTTGTCTAAATCAGCCCAAGAGAGTTTATGGCTACATTCAGATTTAAACAGGAGACTCCAGAGTTCACTGTTCACATTCTTCACTACAGTTCCCCAGATCTCATGCATTAGTTCTTCAAAGCAATAGTGTCTGACCGGGGCCATTATACTCGCTAATATAAATGTTCTACATCTAACTTTTCAATAACATTTAAAGCTTAAAAAAAGGAGATGGTAATATGGAAAAGCAATAAAGCAGTAGCATCATAAAGAGTTCCACACTAGAAATGGACATACCTAGCCTGCAAGAGATACAGAGAAAATTCTGGTGATATTACTGTAATACTTTTAAGAGGGATTGCTACATTATACAAATTACATTTATCCTAACCACCACGCCACAGGGAAGGCTCTGTTGAGAGATTTGTCTGCGGGTCATTAGTGAGCTAAATGGCGAAGCAACAATTTGACCCTGGGACTCTCACAACCCACCCCAACACTTTATCAACAACAGGGGCCTATTTTTTTAATACGGCCATTATGGATTTTCCTTGGTACAGTAAGAGAATGAAGGCCTTGGGGTGGGAGGCGTAAAGGAGGCAAGTTCTGGATTTGGCAGCATGTAGTGGCTGCCGTCAAGATTGTTGTAATATTAATCTCCAGTAGGAAGATCAGTATGATCTACCTGACAGTAAACTGACAGCTACCTGTCAGCAGGTGGTGAGATAAGCCTGGTTCTGACCGGTTATAGCTGGCACTGAACAGTGTGCAGTCACCATGACTCAGCTTGCAGCTGATTGGTGGACTGATGTATATAAGTCTTGTACAGAAGCCATGAATGTTCTCTTCTGAGAAATAGCGTGTCTGGCGAAGCAGTTTGATTGTATATTCTGTGAATAAAACCCTTGTACATAGTGTACCACTGGACTGTGCAGTGTGGTTACTATAAGGGACAGAGCAGCAAGAACTACAGCAAAGAGCTGGTAAGGCTGGGAGGCTGGAAAGTCCATAAGGGTGCTGACTAGCCTAACGGCAGGCCTTGGAACCCTACACTCACGCTCCCGCAACAAAGATATATGTAGACATTTACCAAGGTCTTTAAAGGAATACACCTAAAATCAGGTAAACATATGCTACTTACAATGCAATCCTAAAGAAAGTTACCCTGTTCTACCCCATTGACTTCAATGGATTTAGAACAGTGTAGTTCTGTTTAGGATGAACTGTAAATATCTTTATGGAGCTAGAAGTCATCATTGATCAATTACACTATTGTGACTCTCCTGTTGATAATGTATGTTTGGGCTTAGCACCTATCTGTTGTGAATCTCCTAAAGGATTCCGAACTCCAGGCCTTCTCCCAATCACAGTCCTATCATAATTTTTTTTAAACAACACACATTTTATATTCCATTTTGTTTCTTAAAAACCGAATGAACCTTGTGTTTGCAATTATGCTAAATTCCCCTTAAACTAACTCCATTCTTTTAAATCCACTTCACCTGAATTCAAAACAATTTTTTTTGTGTGAAATGCTCTGCAGCCTACAAACTGATGGATTAGCAGTGACACTAATGCGGAACCTGTGCATCAACAACAGCCCTTCCTGCCATCACAATCACTCTTTGACACAATAAAACCTGTAAGATCACACCCTGGCTCCTATGCTGTCAGTCAATGAGCAGATACTCAAGTCGATGTGTTAATAATGGAGTACCCTATGCTGTTTACAGTGGGGACTTTAGTTTGGGAGGGGAAACAACACAAATTATTTTAGACAGCAAGCTACATCAGCTTTCAGTGCAATCACTGACTCTTTGAGTCCACAAGCCACGCAATAAAGAAAGCTGGGCTTGTTTACATTGTTGGAATCCATCCAACTTACATAACGGAAATGGGATTCAGAAAAGGACAAGCATGTCCCATTTTTAAGAGACAGGCTATACTACGCACTAGACAACACGTATTGCTGGTGTCAAGTCTATATTCCTATATTTTTAATCTAATTCACAGAAACCGCCATTCATTATTTAACGGAGGTGTCATCTATTTAAGTTAATTTAATTCTTTTTATCCTACCATTCCTCCAAGGATCTCGGGGTGGTATACATTGTTCTCCTGTCCTCCATTTTACCACCACAACAATCCTGTGAGGTAGGTTAGACTTAGCGAGCGTGAGCTTCATGGCAGAGAGGGGATCTGAACCCAGGCCTCCCAGATCCTAGTCTGACATTAATGGTCATACCGCACCCTCTCCCTCTTTTTACAGGGACATGTTGTGTTCTTATTTATCAAAACAAATTGGCACAGGAATTTCTACAACGTACAGTGTGAAAAGTACTGTATCTTATATTCAAGTTTGTCCCGCTCTGTGGATACTGAAATATATGGACTGGAGACACTTACACAGAAGGAAGATTTTCCTGCAAACTCATGGGGACCCCCCCAAAAAAAGGCTTGCAGAAAAATCTGAAACTTAATTAAAAGGCGGGGGTGCTGCAAAACCTCAAAATAGAGAACTTTTGTCTGTACTTGTGCAAAAATGCCACTCATGCATGTGTGTCAGAGCGTCAGTGGAGGTGCTGCAGGTGGGTAAGGAAAGGACTCACCACCGCTAGCCCTGTCTTCACTTATTGTCAAGCGGCAGTGCCATGGGTGGAGGGAGGGAGAGGAACACTAACTGTTGCTGATATGGCCACCAACAGGCCCACCAATGCTATCTCTTCAGCGGCAGCCCTGTGGGTTGGGAGGAAAACATGGATGCACTTACCTGTAACCGTAACATTCATCAAATGTCTTCTGTGCAGGCACACATGGGACTGCCTCGCTGCAGGCCTGCCACAGAAAGGAAACTCCACAGCTTCCAGAGAACTCTAATTAATGAGTGCTCCCCCTCCCCTCCATCAGAGCTGGAGCCCTTTCCCTGCCCAAATGGTCACGAGAGAGGGGGAACACTCTTCCCTCAGTTCTTCCTTCACCACCGTGGAGCACAGAACAGAGCAGGCAGTGCAGCCCACAGCGGGGAAAGAATGGAGGGATGTGTGCCTGCACAGAAGACTGAACATAAGTTACAGGTAAGCGCAGCCATGTTTTCATCTTCTTGTCTTCTGTGCAGTCCTACATGGGAGAGTAGCAAGCTCACTTACCAAGGAGGTGGACGTGGGCTGATTATCGGAATGATGACTGCAGAACTGTGTTCCCTGAGATGTGAACCTCCCTTTACCAGGTTTCAATAGGGATAAAGCTATGCTACATCCTAGTTTAGACTTCCTTCCCAAGGTTGTTTCGGAATTCCATATGTCCCAGGACATTGTATTACCTGTGTTTTTTCCAGATCCACAATCCACAGCAGAGCAAGCACAACACATGCTATATGTGAGGGGAGTGTTACTGTTTTATTTAGATTGTACAGACACATTTAGAAAAGATAGCAACCCTTTCATCTGCTTTAAAGAGCCTAAAAAAAGGGAGAGCTGTGTCAGCTCAGACTCTTTCCAGATGGGTGACATCTGCAGTTAGAATGGCAATTATAGCATGACAAAGGTGGACTACCTCTTCCCCCTAAAGGCTCACTCAATGAGAGGTCAAGCATCTTCTGCAGCACTGAGGCAGCGTTTACTTTTGAGAGATCTGTAAGGCAGCAGCTTGATCCTCACCATCCACGTTTGTGAAACACTACTTGGTCGACGTGGATTCCAGGAGGGAAGTGGCTGTGGGAAAAGCAGTTCTCCTACTCTCTGTGTGCATGTAATTGCCACCAAAAATGCAGTCTTAAAAGAGAGTAAAGAGAAATCACACGTAGCTAAGGGTTTGAAAGGTTTATGAATGAGCCGAGAATTATCTAGAGATAAGCTCCATTGATGAACAGGTGGCATGACTGGGGGATGCAAATTGTACAAACCTTTGAGAAACCTCTTTGATAACAGATTATAAAGCACAGGTACAGAATCTATCCCCAAGTGGAAGATGGATATAGCAGCCAAGTGTACCTTAATTGAGGGTGTAGACAGGCCTAAATCCTTTAAAGAAAGTAAATACTCAAATATTTCTGCCACTGAGCAACTGTCAGGCTTAAGACATCTGTCTGAAGCCCATGACACAAAACGATGCTATTTGGCATCATGCAACTTCCTTGTAGATTGTTTGTGTGATATTAAGAATTCAGCAATTCTTTCAGACCACTGATCTACAGAACTAACCATGTGGTGAGGTGCAGAGCATCTTATGTTGTGATGTGGGATCGGACCTATGGACAGCAGATCCTCTGTCCCTGGAAGGGTTCTGTGCCTCTCCCTGGCTAACTTCCACAAGGCTGGGAACCAGGTTCTTCTGAGACAGAAGGGGGCTAGTAAGATGCATTCAATTTTATAACTTTGTGCAGTAGAGGGAAAAGGGGAAAGGCTGTCGGGACCACTGTAATCGGAAAGCATTCTCTAGGGCCTAGCTGTCCCTGGCCACCCTTGAGCCATACACTGGGCATTTTGTATTCTCTGCCAAAGCCAACAGGTCTACATTGGGGTGGCCCCATAACTTGAAGACTGGATCTAAGTACCCAGTGTTTATGGAGGGACCATTCATGTAGGGATCCTGAATCTCTGCTTAGTCTGCTATTTTGTCGTCCACTATTTCCATTGTCCTGGCCTGCTATGTGCATGGCTGTCAACTTGATGTTGGTTTTCTAAGGTGGGGGTGATTTTCTAAGGTGATTTTGCTCATTTGCAGATTAGTACCTGCAGAAAGCCCTGTTTTGGCGGAACACAACAGGACAACAATCTTGCAGATATAAGGATACAAGGCCATGAAGGGCTTTACATGTGACAGCCAATACCTTAAATTGAGCCTGGTAACTAATGCGCAGT